CCTAATTTACCTTTTTGATTCATAATAAATAAAAATATAATGACAACTTAATAACTTCGAAAACCTCTGAGAGACGAGGTACAGATGCATGGGGATATATTCAAGATATGCTGGCCACAAGAACTAGGATACATCCAGGTTGAATGATAATAGTATGTTTTATGCGGGGTGGGGATGATTGAGTAACTGCATACTGATGATTTGTTGTAGCTCATAGTTAAGATTAGCTTAATCACGGAAGCCTGAAAATAATTGAGAGTGAGCAAGACACAGCATGGTATATGGCTTCTACGATTGTTTTCAGTTGAATGCAACTATTAGATAAACAGATTACGTTTAGATGAGATGTAACACAAACGTCCATGTATAATGACACCAACACATGCCATGTAAATATCACATATCACGTTAACCCATGGTGCTCATACTCCAAGGGTAAACTATGCAGCACTGGATTTTACGTGTATTCTGCGCGGTGCACATCACCTGGGGGACTTCGGAGGCAGAATATATCCCTTTCACAAACATGTTTCTTGTAACAGGCGACAATATAGATTGATTGAGTGAGTTTTATGCCGCCTTTAGCAATATTCCAGCATTATGTCGGCGGGGAACACAAGAATGCGCTTCACGTATTGTACCCATGTGGGGAATCGAAGCTGGGACTTTGACGCGCGACTAGAAAGTGTTGGGTTCAATGATTGACCTGGCTGATCGTGTGTCATCGTACCCCGACAACGTTGATCGTTGCTGAGACCATCAAATACCGATGTATCCTGCCCAGACTCGATTACCACCGTGAATCGGGTAAAATATTGCTGCATGAAACATAAATCAACATTCACTCACTCACACAGGCGACACCTCTCAACTTCTCCGCCTGACTGACATAAAATGACAGACATCTGTCAACCAACAACAATAGATTATAAGAGCTAGGTAGTTGGATAAGGGAACGTTGTGTTTCAACCCCATATACAAATGTAATTCCCTATGTTACTCGTAGTAAATAGGAACTCATAAACGTTGTGACGTGTGATGGGATGTCCTCAGCGGTAGCGGGAACTTGTATCCGATTTTAATGAGATTGGGGTAGTCGAAGCATGTGATCAATCCTGTTTTGTTTATTTAAAGCAGTAATTGTTAATTGGTAAGCAAGTATATCTCTGCAGCCGTTGAAATATGCAGCTACTCGCCGACTCGTCTCGCATCAAAACACAGGGCTGTGTGCTCGCGCGCAGATGACCACGGGGTACGCTGACCACTGTGTCGGATTAACGAGACTGATTAATAAGTGATTTCAGCAATTCGTTGCAAATTAGGTGTGTCGGAGTCGGAGTGCGAGACTTTCGGATTAACAAGTCTAAAAAGCACTGATTTAATGGTTACAGGCCGGCAAAGCCACATTTCGAAAATAGATAGCCCAAATTGATGTGGCTCTCGCGGCAATGGTTATGGTTGCGTGATTGTATAATGTGGCTCTCGCGGCTATGCTGTCAAAACTCGCTTTGTGATTCTAACAGGTTACCGTATATAACAAAACAAGTCTTGTTTTCTCATTTTTTATTCAACAAGGATAACATATTCATCAAAACTTTACATTGATGAATATGAATAGCATATGAATATCATAATGGATTTAATGTCATTACTGCAGATGAAGGAGGTCGCCCACGTGGTCAGCATATTCCATCTCACTCAGGTGTTGGTTCAGGAGCTGGATCTTGAGGGACGCAATACGTGCATCGATTGCCTTGTACTTCTTTCTTCGTGAAGGTTCTGACCACTGGTGAGAGAGTCTCAGGACTGCAACCTCTTTGAGTGACTGCTCTCGCTGAAATAGCTTCACTACCTCCTAGATGTTCGGGTGGCACTTCTTGGCAAGTTTCTTTATCTTGTTGTGCCACACTTCAAGGTGATTGTTGGTACGGTGGCCTTGGTTTTCGAAATGGTTCCAAATCTCTGGCATGAAGGCCCCTCCTTGAACCCAACTGGTTGTCACGTAGTCCATGAAGGCAGTCACTTTAGGGCCAGCAGGAGAGTCAGCAATGGCATCAAGCCACACATCATCCACTTTGTCACGAGGTAGTAGAGGGAGGGCAGCGGCTCTTCTCACCAGCTTCTTCACCTCCTCATCTTCCTTATAGTCCATCACCAGACCTTCTTTCTGCACCCTCCTCCAGATACATTGGGTGAAGTGAAAGAAACACCCTCTAACTAATGTCCCAGGAAATACATCAGTCACGGCATTGTGAGCTGCACGTTCAAAGTCCAACTAATGTGGGACACTCATTTAAAGGTATCTCTAAAGAACACCACGCTTAATAATTTAAATGTGGGACACTCATTTAAAGGTATCCCTAAAGAACACCACGCTTAATAATTTAAATGTCGGACACTCATTTAAAGGTATCTCTAAAGAACACCACGCTTAGTAACTTAAATGTGGGACACTCATATAAAGGTATCGGTAATCGGATTAAGTAATTACCCGCTAGAACAGGTGAAATGCACTCAGCTGAAAATGTGGCTCTACCGGCAATAGCCATTTCTGAAATGTGGCTCTCCCGGCTAGACACCGATTTAATCAGTTCCCATCATTAGTGTCGGATAAAGCCAATAGTCGGATTAACAGGTGTCGGATAAACGAGTCTTGACTGTATATTTGCCACAGTTTTGACAGTAAACAAAACCCGCTAAGCTAATCGGTAAACGCCACAGCATACGATCCTGATAAACGCACGAGCAACCATGCAAAGTTAACGAGACTGAGTCAGAAACAGGCCTTGTGCAAGTAAAGGATGTAATTCGTTTGTTGATTCGTTTTATGTTGTCCAAGTGAAACAAGGTAAATATGCAATTAGTCTTAGAACTCACATTGCGCAAACATTTTCCTGTATTTATGTGTCTGTGAGCTCATACACAATCTATAATGATACGTTGTCAAACAATACATTTGATCAATATAACTTCCATGTCGCAGTTTGTTTATTTTTGATCTACTGAGCCCCACCTTTCCAATTCCTGTAATTCTTTACATGTCCCCAGACACAGGCTTATTTATATACAGGCATGTAAAGTTTTCAGAGGGTCTTTTAACATCAATGTTACATAAGTTTTATTTTTGGAAAATTCGGCTTACCTTTAGAATACAGTACCACAAACTTTTCAAACACGTGACAATACCTTATGACGTAATTGTAGTATTTTGTTGCCAGTCACACCGGTGAAACAATGCCCTGTGACGTCAGGGGTCATCGCGTGTGCATAAGCTCCTCCCAGTGATCTATCATCTCTACACGAAATGTCATTGAATACGCAAAGCGCTGTGGAGAGTTTTGAATATTTGTTTACTGAATATAGCCTGCGGCGGCGCATTTTATAGCAGGCGCTAGTTTACGAAAGCACTTTTATTTTTTATATATTTTTTATTTCGTTTTTCTCGTAATTCAAGTGGCTAAAAGGGTTATAAATGGGAACTAATATACATATATTATTTTTTCGGTGCATTAATTTTCATTATTATGCAGAAGAATGTAGTTTATTAGGGATATTATATTGGTGCTGAACACATCCAAATATCGCTCGTGTTAGGGTAGGTTACCCCGAACTCTATCCTTAGCCCTTGGATCCCCTTTACGATCAATCACTCCTTTTCGATCATTAGGGTTAGGTGCCCGTTTAGTGGCTATTAGATTACCCGAATTCTGTCCTTAGCCCTTGGATCCCCTTTATGATCAATCACCCCTTCACGATCATTAGGGTTCGGTAAATCTGCCCATTTAGTTTCTATTATAGATTCTATATAGCGGCTCCTAATATTCGTCACACAAAAACATCGAGTAAAAAGAATGAAATGGTTTTGTGTCGTATACTATGGCTACTGGAAACTGTCCTGGAACATTCGCGCAAGCCACTTTCACCGGCTACATTTTTTTCAGTACTGATTCAAAAGCGAACTCACCGTTGTGTCGTCACTAGCCATGCATGCACATGCCTCCCTCGTTCCTTACTATTATCCACATCATCCTTACAGTGATCCCAACCACACTTTTCTGTCACAAAATCCACCCGACGAATTATTAAATAACACTGCGTACTCGCGAGTTCGACGTCTGACGTCTGACGCCTTAAGCCGTTTTCATTTCGCGCCATATCGGATCATTCCTCGCCACTCGGTATCTTGTAGATTACGGAAAGGAACGAGTGTGCCAAATTGTATCGGGATCATTCGTAAGTGTCGATAGACTGAAGTAACGACACACCATGCCTACCCGTAACCTTCGAAAAGTCCGTCACCCATTCGACCCTTTTCGTTTCAGTTCCGTAACGTCGTAGGCATGACCATGTAAATTTGCATTTTGTTGCACAGTGTGGACGTAGCTCAGTCGGTTAGCTGTCGGGGCTAACAATCCGAAGGTCGCGAGTTCGCGTCCGACGGATTCTGACGTTTTAAGGGAACAACCGATCGAGTGTTGAATTTGGGGATTTCACCCAATCCCCTCACCTTCCAAAACTAAAAACGTATTGCTGACGCAGTTGAAATCACTTTGAATCTTTAAACGATACGTTTGACATTTTCAGAACATTTCTATGTCATCTTTTCTGTGTTTTCCTGCTGGCAAGTTAAAATGGTGTCCAGTGTCAAATGCATAAACCTTTCATACTACTTCCGGTATGTTTAGCAGATTTTATCTTACAAGTAAGGAATCGTGCTTGTTGTTATTGCAGAAAGGTTAGATTATTTATGTGTATTCTCTTGGTGGCAAAAGGGGACAGGTCTAAATGAAAGTAGGTCAACATTTATACCCAGTCTCAGACAGTGTGGTTAATCATGTAATATGGGTCATTTTGACACAATGACACACACTCACCCATGGCCAACACCCGGTCTTCATTGCTCAAGGCAAGTATGGACTACACTAATATTCTGTTTTTACTTAATCAAATGTGTACATCATTCCTTATATCGTAAAAGGGTAAATGATAAATGTACTCACATTTCAGCAGCATGGATGTGTCTACAGCTCCTGGATTCAGCAGATGAACACCGTATTCACTGGCAGAATCTGCAACATCAATGTACAGTTTCTTTCTTGATAAGTCAGTTTTGTAAGGATATCGGTTGTACATGTTTACCATATTAATACAATTGTAATGCTAACACGTCAGATTAATTTTAGATTCATGATTATTAGAGGTCAAGGAAGAAGGGAAATGCTAATTTACCAAGCAAGAAATCCATGGTTTTCGTGGCTCTCTTTTCGATTTTTTCATTCTCGTCAATGCGCTGAAAATATAACAAATATTTGCTTGTCATGGTCTGCCTTCAATAATGTGTGCGTTCAATAACTCACTAATGAACGTTTACTATCTATTTCAAGAATAAGCCATTTATATAGAGACCACTCACTAACTCACTCCTAACTCACTCACTCAAAACGAAGGAAAGGAGGTCATTGCATTCGCTAAGCATCTCCTGTAAAATTTTGAAGTAATGTGATTACATTTTGTGATTTCATCGTTATAACACAATTCTGAATAGAAGGGTAGGTTAACACACAAACCGATTTCAAGCTTTTGATTTCAGCATTCAGCTGGTCTGTAAGCAGTTTAAGGCTTTCAATATGTTTCTCATCTGCATCAATTTTCGTCTTCAGTTCTGTAATGTCCTGCAACAAAAATCTGCAACATGATGTAACCTGACGGTAGAGTTTACTTCTAGTGAATGTCTGAAGCAGTAAATGATTATGTCGTTCGGAAAATATCGAGCACTGAAGTGGCCAATCTGCACCCGAAGTTTGAGTTAGAGTTACCTCCCTTGTTTGTTGTTGACATGAGGAGAGGTTGGTGGTCAAGAAGTTCTGTGACTTGCTCTAAAAGGCTGACTGTACCGTAATACGAGCAATACTATGGTGATACGTAGTCTTGAACGACCTGACTTGTGTCTTATCTACTTGCATAGTGCGGATGGGATACCTATCTGAAAACGTCAAAGCTCTGCAGCTTCCAACACCACTAGTGATTGAAGTACGGAGCCCATGAGTCCATCGAAATATGTAATAGGGCCTGTTACTCATTATTACTGCCACTGTATTGACCCATTCTATTACCTGCATTTTGTGCTTGTTAAACTAGAGCTACAATGTATTAATTACTCATTTATCTTGTGTAGTAATTTACTGATTTCACAAATTAGTTTTGTATGAACTGATTTCTTGGTTAATCACCTCATACCATGATAATATAATAAACACAAAACAGTTAATGAACTGATGCTCTCTCTCTAATTGATAAAACCAAATCACGACTGATCATATACATTTCCAGTCTGTTGGTCAATTTGCAGACACGAATTCATTATGTATTGCCAGTGACTATACTCACCATTTTGTATTTCATTTCCAAGTCTGCAATAAAGTCGTATGTCTGCGTATCCTTGTCTGAAAGAAAAACGGATATGACATGATCAAAGGTTTACACGACTGGTCTAACAACTGGAAAATTGACAAACCGGGTCTCAAATTTTAGAACCATTTGAAAGAGGTTGTAAAAGAATGCAGTATAAAACATCACATACCATGATCGAATGACCAAGAGATATTTTCACATATGAATACCTTTAACAGATTCTCCATCCATTTCACATGTCAAAATTGCACCAAATTCTGATATTCTTGATTGAAGATTTGACAGGCTGCTGGTGTTGTAGACAGCTGTAGGTACATCATGTGTTTGTGGCATAACAGTGTCCAGGCATATCTGAGTCATCTTCCCTACACAACTCTCCAGATCCAAGAGGGCTGACTTTGAGGCATAGAGGAGGGCTTTGGCGATGTAGTCTAAAACCCCAGTGCATGTCTTCCAATCTTCTTCACATGTGTTTAGACGAGCATGTAGAGTTGCCTTGGTCTCCTTTGTTTGACTTTCAAGGGCGATCAGAGTTGACTTCTCTCTTTGATCAAGTTGTGATCTCAGAGTCTGGAATGTGCGGCCAATACTTTCTTTCAAAGTGTAGTGTGTTCTGTCGGTTGCTTCGATTCCTTGCCTGATGCTCTGCATGTATGATTGCTGGCGAGCCTGTAACTTTGAGAGCTCATTCTTATGATGGTCCAACTGTTTTGTTATAGTATCAGCAACAACATCCAGCTTCACAACTTCGTGGTCAGCATGGTCTTCAATCCTACATCTCGCACAGATTAACTTCTTGCAGCGTTTATCAAAAAGATAAAGAGAGTCGTGTTTATGGATACCGCAAAATGTTGGAATGTTCGAGATTGTCGGTTCCACGTCAGTGAAGTTTTGAAGTACATGGTTCTTGGTAAGTTTGAAGCTGCTGTGCATGTTCTGGCAGTATTCACAGAGGAACTCCTCACACTCCTGACACCAACACACAGCCTGGTTCCCGTCATCTTCATGTGTACAGAGGAGGTCTGAGGATCGATGTTTGACTGTCAGGTGGTATATTTCCTTCTGTCTCACTGCATCCTTCTGGAGGCTTGTGTCTGTGAGGTTGACGCCCCTCTGACATGTAGAGCATGATATCACACCACGAGCTGCAGATGTCACACACGTCTCACACACAGCGTGTAGACAGGGCAGTAAGTAGGGGACTGGACCTTGTAGGGTAAATTGCTTCTGATCGACAGAACACTTCGGGAAGGTGTCCATTCTGAAAGACAGAAGATTTAACACAAAGACTGTTTCAATCAATGTACTGACATGTATCAAGCTGTACCATTGCAGCTCATCACACAAAAGACTCAGGTTCCATTCATCCTTTGTGGTGCCCTTTTCAATTGTGTCTTGATACTGTTCCTGAGGATGAGCTAAATAAAATCCAAATTCCTACATATAAACATGTACAGAATAACTTATTGTCCAAATCTTTCACTGGATAGACAACTCTTCAACGATTTGGCATGGGTATATAAGGTATGTTTTCAGCCACAGCTGCAAAACCCAAAAGTTGTTTTAATTAAGACAAACACCTTGGAACAATGTTGTGGGAGAAAAAATATTTTTATTTCACGTGGACAATGTAGCCCCCCCCCCCCCCCCCCCCCCCCCCCCCCTAACACACACACACACACCTCTTACCCCCCTCGACACTCACACGCACACAAGAATAGTTCGCTATGCCTTTGCATCGATACTAACTTATCTCTACCCAACCATGACTGCACATATATCTCTAACATCAAAATGATTAACTCCTCGATATCCACCTGTCCAGGTACTTAGATCAAACAATACCTATTTGATAATACCTTATTCGTACTGCTCCCTGTGCCCACAAATCAACTGAGGGAAATGAAAAGAAAGGTTCAAGGTCCACAACATACTGCGAATGTTATACCACATGATTAAATGTTGTCTTCAGAAATCAGACAAAGTATGTCATGTCATACATGGAAACCCTTCTTCCAAAAATGTATATCGATGTCAATGACGTGCCTGTTTTTTACTGAGATATGTAACCTATGTCCTATTCTGCAACTCACTGCAAACAATTTAACACAAACGGCATTGCCACTGATCAAAACTCATTTATTTAAAGGTTATTGTAATACTTTCATTGCTTATAATCTAATTTGGTGGAACTGCCTACTTATGTATTGAATACTGTAAGGGATATTCTCGCGATCTCGGCTTTTGGAAACGAAGTAAATATGTAAAAGACACGAGAATGCGAGAACGCGAGATTTAGCCAAAATTTCGCGTTCTCGCGATCTGCATACTTGTGCTTTGGGTACATAGCACTTTTTTGTCAAAGGTCGACAACTCGAGAATGCAACAATTGGACAAGATGTAAAACCTCGCAATCTCTACTTGTTCTCCAGGCGCAAGCCCACATTAGTAGACGTATGGTTATGCTTCTTTCGTGTTCTTCGTTCTCCAATTCAAGTAGCATTTAGCAAACTTATGACTTGAGCTTGACAATACTATGTATTGTACAAACACAAAGTCCTATGGACAGCAGAGTCCTCTCCAGTTGTTACAGTGCCCTATGTACTTTAAATTAAAACTCTCAACATCCTCAGTATAACTTAACAAAAGAAATTCTGCACATGAATGTCCCATGGTAGTGAAAACATTAAAGTGTCCGGAAGCTGGAAAAATATCAACGTCAGTGAGTGACTTTATATTGCTTTAAAGCCGCATCAGAAGTATTGCAGCTACACCGTCAGTTATAGAAATAATCCCAGGCCTATGGTTTTCTTATGGAATACTGTAAGGGGCATTCTCGCGATCTCGGCCTTTGGAAATAGGAGCTAAATTATTCTAAAAACACAAGAATGCGAGATGGCGAGAACGCGAGATTTAGCGATCTCGCATTCTCGTGTATTTTGGTACGTAGCAGTTTTTGTCAAGAGTCGACAACGCGAGAATGCGACATTTGGACATGATCTCGCAGTCTCGCAACCTCGACTTGTAAAATTAGGCCACTAAACACGAAATCGGGAGAACGTGAGAATGCGAGATTTCATTTTCTCGCGATCTCGGGTTCTCGCGTTTTAAATGCTGTCCATGCGAATGCGTTATATCACTGCAGGGAGAATAAACCATGAGGGGCGGAGTGTTTTATTGTACGATAAACAACTCCCACTCGTCGTTTATGTCTTATATAAGATATCAACATTATAAGGACCACTAATGTACAAGCTAATATAACCCCTATTTAAATAATGATGACTCCCTCAATAGAATCCGACCTCGGTAACGTCGGACAAGTCCATTTCATGCACAGGTGGGTATTTTTCCGCATATTCTCATAATCCTCAGGTCGATTACCCGTACCTTTTCTCCCAATACCTATTTTCATATTTCTCCTTGTTTGGGATGCGATCGTCGGCCATAGCGTTGATCTGTGCTGCCCTGCTACATCTATGGGGATCAACCCACTGGACACTTCCCTCTCACAAATAACGTCGTCAAACATACGCCGTCATCAAGTTGTGAGCGCATGTTCGAATCTTCAGAAAAGACGCCATGATAGAACCCTGTTTTACCTTGAAATAAACCACGCTTCATTGTTTTTTGCGATTTATCGCGTAACCATCTTATATAACTTGATAATGCCCTCATATTGCTTGACGACGGGCCATTACAATGCCAGTTGTTAGTTGACGTCATATGACGTTCAATATTCACCTCATCTGGTATGTTCTATGACGTTTCCATATTTGTAAAGATGGGTCAGTGATATTCGTTGTGTGTTGATTGCAGTAAATGTTTCAAAACCCATATTGTTGTTAATTTTATTAAATAACAAAAGTTATCCATTTTAGTTATAATCACGGTAACGTTATTTTTTAGGGCATTATCATTTGCAGAAGCCCTCGGTCCTCGGTTAATGGAAGACCAAGTTCCTGGAAATATATATAGATATTGCATATGTATATTCCTACTTTCTTTACTTGATGAAATACTCCACACACGTAGCCCTACTGAACACACATGATGCATGTGAATCGCACCCTCAGACAGTAATTGTACATATTTGCCTTAAATAGTTCGATAAGAAAAAAACATGTTAAAAATAAAATTCCTCCCGTTTATCATGTTTTTTGAAAAATCAAACTCTAACTATAAATTTATTGCGGCCAGAACATCTACATGCTAGGCATACTTTTACTGGAAATGTACTCGAATATACCGCCTGAGGGAGAATGGCCGAAGGGGGATTATGTCGTGGCGCAGTCCGTCCGTCCGTCTGTCCGTCCCACAGAGGGTATTAAGCTTGTGAAATCAACTCCTCCTACAGTTTCCAGAGAATATCCCTGACACTCTACACACAAGATGTCGACATGTTGATGATACGCATATCGCAGTCCCGTTTCATTTCGACTAATGTTGACAGAGTTACTGACCCTGTTTTACGGAGCTTCATTTGCCTAATTGTCAGAGAGGGTACTATAGGCAGTAGGCAGACAAGCATGAGAACGCGATCTCGTGTTCTTGCGTTTTTGAAAATAATTACTGATAGGAAAGTAGGCACAAAAACACGAGAATGCGAGAGTACAATATTGGTCAAGTATCGCTATATTGCGTTATCGCGTGAGAACGTGAGATCGTAATATTGGTAAAGTCACGCTATCTCTCGCTCTCGTGTTTTTGAAAATAGTTACATGTAACTTTATAGGCAATTGGCACCAAAGAACGAGAACGGGAGATTACGACATTGGTCAAATATCGCGATGTCGTGTTCTCGCGATTTCACGTTCTCTTGTTTTTGAAAACAGTTACATATGACTGTATAGACATTGGTTAAGTGTCACGATCTCGCATTCTCGTGTTTTTGAAAATAGTTACATATAGCTGTAGAAGCAATTGGCACAAAGGCACACGAATGCGAGATTACGACATTGGTCAAGTGTCGCTATCTCGCGTTCTCATGTTTTTGAAAATAGTAACATACAACTGTCTAGGCAATTGGCACAAAAGTGTGCAACTTGCGTTAACGTTACACCTAAACTACACCCCGTATCGTTCCGTGAATATTCCGGCCTTTAGCAACCAATGCTTCTCGGTAGAGGCGACCAACTGGACCGGGTGGTCAGGCCCGCTAACTTCGTTGATGCATGTCAACATATTCAGTTGCTTAGATCGATGCTAATGATGTCAATCACTGGATTGTCTCGTCCAGGCTCGATTATTTACAGACCGCCGTCATATAGCTGGAATATTGCTGAGTGCGGCGTTAAACAACACACAAACAATCAAAACATTCCCGTGTCCAGCTAAACTTAGCCGGGTGTGACGTCACATGAGCTTTGGAAATGGAGGCCTGTACCGACTCCAATCTTGGCGTAACTTGACGACGCGCAGAAAGAGCAGCGAATCAGCTTACAGAAAAAAAAATATCCAAACTGGTTCCAGACTCTGCATACGCGCTTTCAACTTGCGATATTGTGATATGAAGAGTCGGGGCTTAACATAGTAAAATCTCAAGCGCTCTCTTGTCCCTAAAAGTAAAAACATACTCTCTTACTTGTTTTATGTTCGAATATATTGCCACGCATACTTTGACAGTCGAGTACCAGCTACTACAAACATCCCATGGTCACAGGCCCGAGGTCGAAGGGCAGATCATTAAGTAACCATTCACTTTAAAAGACATTTCACACATTTTAACCTCTTGTTCCGCAACCGCTTGTCCTGTGTGCTGTTTCATGTGCTTGACATTTTATGTCATTTGACTTCAGTTACGTGGTTTTGCAGCCATATTGGATTCAATATTTTCAGAGTGCATTTTACTTTGATTTTGGTACATGTCTTCAAAACCCTACCCCTCTGAACCTGCAAGCTGAAATGATTCAAAACTTTCAAAGAACTGTCTCCATACTTAGCATACTACTAAAAAAAGAATTTAAAGAACACCCGTGGTTATCCTTTATGTCTCGAGGGCTCGCATTTCGGTAAACTTACATTAAGCACTGGATCCATCCCATGGTTCTCTCAATCTCAAATTATCCGCTCTAGATTTCCGTGAGACGATATAAATGGTTACGCTACTAAGTCTAACTTACCAATCAGAATGCGAGTTACAAACCAGCTTCAACGTTGGGTTGGCTATATGAACAACATGGCGGCCAGTCTCATTCATTACGAGTGAGTGAGTATGGTTTTACGCCGCTTTTAGCACTATTCCAGCAATATCACAGCGGAGGACACCAGAAATGGGCTTCACACATTGTACCCATGTGGGGAATCGAACCCGGTTTTTTTACGAGACGAGCGAACGCTTTAACCACTAGGCTACCCCACAGCCCCTCGTTCATGACGATGGCGTTTGCGAGAAGTTCAACAAGGAAAATTGACGGACACGCAAAAGAAAGCCCTCCAAGGTCCTTTTTGATAGAAAGTGGGTCTTTATGTCCATTGACACTGGCGTATGCTTTAGCTTCTAGGCAATAGGAGTTACCTCCCTTACTTATTTTCCTTATCTCGACGTTTGATTGGTCGGTAAAATGGTAAAAAAACCATCAAGGGCGGATAATTTAAAATTAAGAAGACCTCGCGAAAGGATCCGGGGGATAGTGAAGGTTTATGGAAATACGATCCCACGAGATACAAAGTATGGGCCATGATAGATTAACTATATTCATGTCAATAATTCGTTTTTTTCAACAGGTCTTTTTAATAGTACGCCAAACAACGCTTGACATTTTCTGATACCATTTTGTATTGCGGCCATATTAGACTTAAGATCGATGTTTTCCTTAAATATATTGCTTTAAAAATCATATCTTGTAAGTTTCATCGTAGAACACATTGAAGGTTTGCATGTAGTTACATGCGAGCGTTTGTGAATGCGTACAGTGTGTGTGTTTCTGCGTGAGTTTGTGTGTTCTATTTTGTGTGCGCGAACGTGTGTATCATCATCATCATCATCATCGTCATCATCATCGTATCATGATCATGATTATTATTCTTGTGTTATTGATATCCGATGTGCAAGTACATATTTTTGGCTATATTTTACACGATATCACATTTTAGTAATTAAATGCAGTGTTGGGGAAAATATTTATTAAAAAACTACAATTCTTTCGCGTATTCTGATTCGCTAGCGCAGTTTTGACTCAAACCGCTATGTGTAACTATTGAAAAAAGCATGAGAACGTATATACATTAATGACATATTCGATATTTTTTATATCTTTTCAGAAAATGAGCTAACAAGTGTGCAACTTGCGTTTACAGTACACCTAAACTACATCCCGTATCGTTCGGTGAATATTCCGGGTTAAGAGTGGCCTTCAGCAACCCATGCTTCTCGGTAGAGGCGACCAACGGGACCGGGTGGTCAGGCCCGCTGACTTTGTTGATGCATGTCATCATATTCAATTGCTTAGATCGATGCTCATGATGTCAATCACTTGATTGTCTCGTCCAGGCTCGATTATTTACAGACCGCCGTCATATAGCTGGAATATTGCTGAGTGCGGCGTTAAACAACAAACAAACAATCAAAACATTTCCGTGTCCAGCTAAACTTAGACGGGTGTGACTTCACATGAGCTTTGGTATTGGAGGCCTGTACCGACTCCTATCTTGGCGTAAGTTGACGACGCCCATAAAGAGCAGCGAATCAGCTTACAGAAAAAAAAATATCCAAACTGGTTCCAGACTCTGCATACGCGCTTTCAACTTGCGATATTGTGATATGAAGAGTCGGGGCTTAACATAGTAAAATCTCAAGCGCTCTCTTGTCCCTAAAAGTAAAAACATACTCTCTTACTTGTTTTATGTTCGAATATATTGCCACGCATACTTTGACAGTCGAGTACCAGCTACTACAAACATCCCATGGTCACAGGCCCGAGGTCGAAGGGCAGATCATTAAGTAACCATTCACTTTAAAAGACATTTCACACATTTTAACCTCTTGTTCCGCAACCGCTTGTCCTGTGTGCTGTTTCATGTGCTTGACATTTTATGTCATTTGACTTCAGTTACGTGGTTTTGCAGCCATATTGGATTCAATATTTTCAGAGTGCATTTTACTTTGATTTTGGTACATGTCTTCAAAACCCTACCCCTCTGAACCTGCAAGCTGAAATGATTCAAAACTTTCAAAGCACTATCTCCATACTTAGCATACTACTCAAAAGAATTTAAAGAACACCCGTGGTTATCCTTTATGTCTCGAGGGCTCGCATTTCGGTAAACCTACATTAACCACTGGATCCATCCCATGGTTCTCGCAATCTCAAATTTTCCGCGCTAGATTTCCGTGAGACAATATAAATGGCTACGCTACTAAGTCTAACTTACCAATCAGAATGCGAGTTACAAACCAGCTTCAACGTTGGGTTGGCTATATGAACAACATGGCGACCAGTCTCATTCATTACGAGTGAGTGAGTATGGTTTTACGCCGCTTTTAGCAATATTCCAGCAAACTCACAGCGGAGGACACCAGAAATGGGCTTCACACATTGTACCCATGTGGGGAATCGAACCCGGGTTTTTGGCGTGACGAGCGAACGCTTTAACCACTAGGCTACCCCACAGCCCCTCGTTCATGACGATGGCGTTTGCGAGAAGTTCAACACTGAAAAACTGACTGACACGCAAAAGAAAGCCCTCCAAGGTCCTTTTTGATGGAAAGTAGGTCTTTATGTCCATTGACACTGGCGTAGGCTTTAGCTTCTAGGCAATACGAGTTACCTCCCGTACTTATTTTCCTTATCTCGACGTTTGATTGGTCGGTAAAATGGTAAAAAAACCATCAAGGGCGGATAATTTAAAATTTCGAAGACCTCGCGAAAGGATCCGGGGGAGAGTGAAGGTTTACGGAAATACGATCCCACGAGATACAGAGTATGGGCCATGATAGATTAACTATATTCATGTCAATAATTCGTTTTTTTCAACAGGTCTTTTTAAAAGTACGCCAAACAACGCTTGACATTTTCTGATACCATTTTGTGTTGCGGCCATATTCCTTAAATGTATTGCTTTAAAAATCATATCTTGTAAGTTTCATCGTAGAACACATTGAAGGTTTGCTTGTAGTTACATGCGAGCGTACAGTGTGTGTGTTTCTGCGTGAGTTTGTGTGTTCTATTTTGTGTGCGCGAACGTGTGTATCATCATCATCATCATCATCATCGTATCATGATCATGATTATTATTCTTGTGTTATTGATATCCGATGTGCAAGTACATATTTTTGGCTATATTTTACACGATATCACTTTTTGTAATTAAATGCAGTGTTGGGGAAAATATTTTTTTTAAAAACTACAATTCTTTCGCGTATTCTGATTCGCTAGCGCAGTTTCGACTCAAACCGCCATGTGTAACTATTGAAAAAAACGCGTGAAAGCGAGATCGCGACACTTGACCAATGTCGCATTCTCGATGTTTTCATGCTTTTGTGCAAACTACCTTTACAACTATAAGCAAATACTTTTTAAAAAAACGCGAGACCACGAGAACGCGAGATCGCGAGAACGCGAGATCGCGACTTATGACTAATGTCCAGACAAACTGATGGTGGGTTCTGTTCCAATTCAAGCTGACAAGCCGTGATACAACTGAAATATAAATACTGTTTAAAGCGTTGTTAAGCCTAATTCACTCACTTATTCAGAGTTTGATTGATTTTTAAAAAAATGCATGGGAGGCGGGAAATACTATATTGTTTACATTATACTTTTGTACAACAGAACTGTATAAAGCATATATGCATATGTACAATTGATGTCATGCGTGTTCAGTTGGGTTACGTGTGTGGAGTATTACATCAGGTAAAGAAAGTAGGAACACACATATAAGCGATACTTCTATTTCTAGGAACTTGGAGGTAATAGAATAATGTATAAGGCGGGATGTTCCGTAGTCAGGCGGGAGCGGAGGAAAATCTAATAACTACTCATGTATGGTCTGAAGTAGCGAACATGGTGTCGAGTAAAACATCAGACAAGCTCGTTTTAGACGAATACTACAAATTGGTCTGTGAAACTTTTGTGTTAGTGAATATGCTAGCCGTGTATAATATTACCTCATGATTGGTTTGTTTGTTTGTTGTTTGAGGCCGTACTCAGAAATACTCGAGCTATATGACGGCGGTCTGTAAATAATCGAGTCTTGACCAGACAATCCAGTGATTGATATCATGAGCATCGATCTACGTAATTGACCACCAGATCCCGTCAGTCGATCGCCTCTTACGACAAGCATAGTCGCCTTATACGGATCTTAACGGGTCTTACCTCATGGAGAAACCGATAGGCCTGTGGTTATGTCTACAACTGACCGTGTAGCCGCGATAAGCTGCAATACTGCTGATGCGGCTTTGAGCAATATTAGGGGCGGTCGGGTAGCCTAGTGGTTAAAGCGTTCGCTCGTCACGCCGAAGACCCGGGTTCGATTCCCGACATGGGTACAATGTGTGAAGCCTATTTCTGGTGTCCCCCGCCGTGATATTGCTGGAATATTGCTAAAAGCGGCGTAAAACCAAACTCACTCACTCACTCATTGAGCAATAATAACTCACTCACTGACGGTGATTTTTCTTCCAGCTGCCGGACACGTAAATATTTTCACTATCATTGAACATACATGCACACATTTTCTTTTGTTAAATTATATTGAGCATGTTGAGGGTTGAAACTGTAACAAAGGGAGAGGACTTGTATACACTACATAGGACTTTGAGTACGTAAATTAGATAGCATTTCAGGCTCAAGTCATAATTTTGCTAAATGCTACTTGGAAAATGAAGAGCCTGAAAGAAGCATGACCAAAGGTCTACAAACGTGCGCATGCGCCTTGACCTCATGATAATACGCATGCCCAGTGCTATTTGCCCAAATCACGAGAATGCGAGTTTCTTTTCGTGGTTTTGGCATATTTAGCTGTTTCCAAAGTCGAGATCGCGAGAATGTCCCTTACAGTATTCCATACTTATGTCAATTTCATGAACATTTTCGTCTCTTTGCTCCTTAATTCAAATCATAAAAAAATAATCTAAATAACAAATAGTAAGGTGTAAAATGTGTCTTACTTGCTCGATGCTCCGGTCCAACCGTTCGAACCTTGTGGAAAAAAAATATATGGCAAAATCAATATTAACAAATACATTATTCTTAATGAAACTACAATTATGTTCAAGTATGACTATGTTATGCTACATACATGTGTTACAACAAACGCAACTCCTCAGAAACTGCTGGTGAACCGAAACGCATGAGATAAAAATCGACTGTTTTGTCAGAGATCATTAGCAGGTGAAGCCTCTTGTGCTCGTTAATCCATCAAAAAGTACCTTCTTTCCCCAGCATTGTTTATATCCACCTGTGTGTCCAACATGGGTATGCATGGAACCTACGCACTCGCATGTATCAGTCTAACATTTACAGGTTTAGTGTCATGGAGTGAGGGAACCGACTATGTGTCTGTTTATGTAATTGTACATTACACAAATCAGGGTATTATTAACTTTTCTTAACAACGTCTGAAAATCGAAAACATATTTCAATATAGATATACTTCCACGCGAAAGTGTTTGAACATTCTTTCTCAAGAATATGTGCAACTCGTTTGCTGTGGGTTGCACCCCTGTATCGGTTGAGGAAGGGATTCTTGGGGTTGAAGGCACTGGAGCCAGGAACAGTGTTCCGTTTGCCCAACACACCACTTTGAAGGTAACTTCATCTGGACGAGTGGTAAAATTGGCCAAGTTCTATCAATCAGCTGCTCATGTGAAGCCATTTGTGTGACGTTTTTGTCATAGAACCGTACGTTTACTTTATGAATGGTCTTCTGTTCATCGATTTGTTTCACATACCTGCCCAGAGCATATACCCAGAAGGCGGTGGCTCATGGGACAATCTGGCTGATCATCGAGCTCTGGATGTATGCTAGAGTATTAACATTTCTGTATCTCTTTGGTGTTAGGTTGCTGGAATTCTGTTTACTTTGAGACATCGCCCTTGGTGGCGCTCCATAGCAGGCAGGGAGCAGGTTTGCAGAACCACAATAAATACAACCATTGGTAAACATGGGCAAAATTTCTGCACCAATAAGCTGACTTGCTTCAGATGTGGAAATGTGACCATGATGGCAAGATATATACCTGAACCATAAAGTGCTAACATTGTAAAGGCGACCATATAGCATCTTCAGCTGACTGCTCTGTAGAGAAAATATGAGGCCACTGTGCAAACAAATTAAATGTGAGTAAAGAATCAGTAACTCTGATGCTGGAAATGAAGCTCAGTCACTTCAACCTACCTATGAATGTCACATGCCCATCATATGCTTCATATAAAGGTGACTGCATCAATTCTCTGATAAAAACACGACCTGACATCTAAAACCATCTGCTGCATTCACTTCAAACACAACTCCAGATTCAATTCAGACGTCATTGAAGCAAGGAGAAACAGCGTCAACACAAACAGAACCAAACATCGAACAGACCAAATCTATCAATGCTAACCCCAAGATAAAACACATTCAATCTGTCCGAGTGCCAAAAAGCACTCTATCATAGATCTGGTTTACTTGAGGATATGGATACAGATGTATCTGCCCACGTGCACACAAGCGGCCATTCCGGTGGTCACTCACCCAAAAAGATTGGAAGAGTGCTATCATCCTTACTCCCCCTTGAAAAGTAAAACAAACTGATCAATTCAGTGGAATTGTCGAGGTCTAAGGGCAAATTTGATGAGATTAAGCTTTTGCAAGTACTTATAATCCAATAGCTTTTACTTTTAAAGAATCATATTAGAAAGAATGTGATAAACTGATTGACGTCAATATGTTTATGCTTAAGCAAATAATGGTAAGGCATCTGGTGGCTCAGCATTTTTGTGTTAAACACGGAACAATACAGTGTTCTATTTCGTCCTCTCATCTTCCAACTATGATCATAAATTTCAAAAGTTTGTTGATAACTTTATTTCATGTCGTGGTACAAAGATGAACAATATTGAAACAAACAATGACAACTTTGCCTCAACAAGATTCCCAAGTGGTCGCTAAAGATGTCTTTCCACAGCCAAGGCCCCCAAAAAGTCAAAACATGTGTTCAGTTTTGTGATAAACGCAAAATGAATCATGACCCTGTGTTATTATTCTAACACAAAACTCCAATCAAAGTGGTCAAGGATACCATCTTTTCTATAGGAATAGCATTTGGCAATAAATTGCCTTTTATTCCACATATTACAAAAATTGGAAGTTAAATGCTTAAAAGCTCTGGATATACTAAAGGTAGTTTCAAATGCTGAATGGGGTGGAGACTAACAAACTCAGCTTCATCTCTACAGAACATTGATTCGATCTAAACTTGATCATATCTGTTTCATATGTGGTTCGGCTCATAAATTGTACATTCAAGAGCTTAACACTATTAAATATCAAGGTCTTAGATTGTGTCTGGGTGCATTTCGAACTTCCCCTGTTGAAAGTTTATATGTTGAATTGAACCCTGTCTTGTTATCAGAAGGATAAAACTGGCACTGCGGTATGTTAATAAATTCCATTCCAATCCATCCAATCCGGCATTTAACACCAGCTCAATCCTCCTTAACAGTCTTTGTATTCTTAGAAAACTAGCTAAATTCTTCCACTTGCTATGCGTTTCCAACAACATATTACTGATGCTAATCTAAATATTTCTTCAATTGATGATTTAAAACTGCCAGCGTGGCAGTCAAAACAGCCTGAGGTCAATGTGGAATTCACGAAATTGAAAAAGGGGAGAAACTATCTCCTTATCATATCAACAAGCCTTCCTTGAAAATAAACATCAATATACAGCGCATACAAGCATATACACTGATCGATCCAACATGGTGATATGGTGTTAGCTGTTACCCATGATGGTACTCTATTATTATGATGAACTGATGTGGAAGTTCCATTTTTACAGCAGATGTTAAGGCTATTCTATTAGCCTTGCAAATTATTGCACGTTCGAAAGAGAGCAGTTATATCATTTTTTTCTGATATCTTATCCTGCTTACAGGCATTCAACGAACGTAAAACAGATCATGCCTTTTCAGTTGAAAATTTGAAATGCCATTTAAACCTGTCCATGGCTAACAATGATATCATATTTTGTTGAATTTCTACCGAGTATTGGCAAATCGATATCGAGAGGCCCTTTTCCATATACTGACCCCAAACCCGCTATTCGCCAATATGTTGGAAATAAGTGGCAGCAAAGGTGGAATAAGTAGTCAGGATAAAGTTGTGACCCAAAGGTGTCTCATTGGACACAGTCATTTTACTCATTCGTATTCATTATTCTCCTCTATGTATTCCTTGTCATAGTCCTTTGAATATAAAACACCTCTTGTTGGAATGTGTGGATTTTGCACTAATTCGCCAACGCTTTTATACTGTTCAAACTATTTCTGAACTTTTCAATACCGTTTCTAGCCACTTAGTTTGAGCATAATTGATGGAAATTAAATGGTGTGATAAGATGGAAAATTTAAATTTTAAGTGTCAGGCTTTCCTTCTGGACTGAAGTGTTAGTGATCTTCATGTTTATATTATGGTTTTTTTCTAAAGAATGTTTTCTAGCCGCGAATAGGTGGAATATTGCTGATGCGTCATAAAGCCAAATTTACTCCCTCACTCTTGTTTATGGTACCAAACTGTTCTTTCCATGTGATATAGTTCCATCCTCAGCTGTCATTTTTCACTATATTTTTTTATACGGACAGAAAAGGAAAACGCTTGATCACCTTTAACTTGAAAGGAATGACAAGAAAACGAATTTAGTAGAACATATTTACTCGCCTGACAAAGAATGATGAAGGTGTGCCAAAATGAGTGCACAGAATTTACTAGTGAATAGCAGTTCCAAAAGCAGCATTCGGGATTATAGCACTACCCAAAGATGAGGTCAGTGTATGACGAATGGATGCGTTAAACGGTGAGGTACTGATCCGCACGACCACTTGTGCAAGCAGCTGAAATGTTTCTTCATTCCTCTTGAAAGGTTAAGGTCAAGAACGGAACGTCATTGGCTGATGGTTGACATCGGCTCGTACGTTATCTGAGCCAATCCTACATATATCATATCGGGTTCATATCGGGGGAAACTGCAGGCCATTCCGTCACAACAATGATCGTCTAGGAAAGGTCTGCTTGGTGATTCTTGCAGTATGTGGTGGGCCGTCATTTTCCTGTTGACATCTTCTCAGCCGTGGCTGCAGTACAGGCCACATTTCATTGACCACATGACATTGGGCATTCAAGTTACCATTAGTGACAATGATGAAGCTCCTAAAATGTGCAATAATCATCACACTGCCTTCTCCAAAACGCTCACTCCCATGAACACAAGCGTCAGCAAATTTATTGTGTCATCTTCTGCATACCCAATATTTTCCATCCATAGGATACGCAGAAGCAGGAGTCATCGCGGATGAAAATCCTTCGAGGAAGTGTATTTATCTAAAGAAATACTGATGATAAATCTGAAGTCTTGATATGTCGATATGTCATCCAGTCCTCAAAGGCCGAGTCAGTGTCAAAGATGGATCTGAAGCGATTATTTGGGTGCGAATGAGGCGGGCTGTCATTGATGCTACCTGTTTGTCAAAAAGGTTGCCAAGAGTTGGGCACTGGTCTTTCGGTGCACATGAAAATGTCCAGCTGTCTGAGCGAGGTTCCCCTTCTAACATCATTTACGGAAAGCTTTTGAGATGTCATCACATCAAATTTCACATTGCCTTTTATGCCTAAACATTCAGGGAATGCATAAAATACCATCCTGTTTTCAACTATTATAAAATATTTGTATTTTTTGGTCACGTCGATCTCGAATGAGATTCCTACCCAGCTGAAGACATTGCTGTATTTGATTATCTTATGCCTAAATACCCCAAACAACTGAATTTCATTTTAATTTGTCATTTCGCCAAATATTACCAAAAATCGAATATGACTTTTCAAAGAGAGTCAGTAATTTACAACTCCGACAATAGCACGCCCCTCCAGTGTCACCCATCTAAAGACATGCAGTGATAAGACAATTCTTCATCTGAACAAAAACATTTGATACAAGTTA